TCTAGCCAGAATTTCATCACATGGCCATATATTAGCATTAGCTAGCACTTCCAGTATAATGTTGAAAACGAGTGGTAAGAGGGGATGTTCTTGTCTTGTTGATCTTAGTGAGAAAGTTTTTAGTTTCTCACCATTAACTACAATATTAACTATGAGATCTTTTGGTATAGGTTCTTTATCCAGTTAAGGAAGTTCCCATCCCTGCTTTGCTGAGAGTCCTTATCATGAGTGACTGTTAGATTTTGTAAAATGCTTTTTCTGCCTTTATTGATATGTGATTTTTCTCCTCATTTTTCTTTTTTAGCCAGTTGGTGAGATGGATATATTAATTGATTTTCAAATGTTGCATACCCGGGATAAATCCCACTTGATTGTGGTGTGTAATCCCTTGTATCCATTGCTGGATTTGATTTCCTAATATTTTGTTGAGAATTTTTGCACCTGTGTTCACGAGAGATACAGATCTGTAGTTTTCTTGCAAGGTCTTTGTCTGGCTTTGGTATTAGGGTAATGAGTTCTGCTACTGTCTTCTAAAACAGATTGTAGAGAATTGGTGGAATTTCTTAAATGTTTGGTAGATTTCACCAATGAGCCCATGTGGGCCCAATGTGTTTTAATGAAAACTTTCACTTTACAGAGATACTAACTTGGGAGACAGGTGTGAATTTGAGGCCTTGAGTGACTGGGGCAGGCTTAGAAGAGTTACTTAAGTTCATTGAACTTACATTCCTGTTCTTTAAAATGGTGATAATACCACTTGCTTATGGTGGTATTGGAATGATATACAGCACCTAGCACTGTCCAGCCTATAGTGAGCAATTACTGGGAGCTACTTATTTATTTACCTATTACTTACTTACTAACTAGACCAGACTGACATTGTGTGTTGAACTGTTGAAGACACCATTTCTTACATACCCTTGGAGGATGGGATAGATAGTTTCTGACTTTTCTTTTATCTCTCTCTTTCATAATCTTTGTCTCCCTCCATCCCTCTCTTCCTTCCTTAAGGAAGGAAGGATTAATATATCCATATTTTGGATTAATATATCCACGTATATGGATTAATGCTGCTGCTGCTGCTAAGTCACTTCAGTCGTGTCCGACTCTGTGCGACCCCATAGATGGCAGCCCACCAGGCTCCCCTGTCCCTGGGATTCTCCAGGCAAGAACACTGGAGTGGGTTGCCATTTCCTTCTCCAATGCATGAAAGTGAAAAGTGAAAGTGAAGTCGCTCAGTCATGTCCGACTCTTCGCAACCCCATGGACTGCAGCCTACCAGGCTCCTCCGTCAATGGGATTTTCCAGGCAAGAGTACTGGAGTGGGGTGCCATTGCCTTAAGATGGATTAATATATCCATATTAATCATTGTTGTTCAGTTGCTAAGTCGTGCCAACTCTTTGCAATCCCTTGGATTGTAGCACACCAGGCTTCCCTGTCCTTCAGTTCCCTGGAGTTTGCTCAAACTCATGTCCATTTAGTTGGTGATATTATCCAACCATCTCATCCTCTGTCGTCCCCTTCTCTTGCACTCAATCTTTCCCAGCATTACAGTCTTTTCCAATGAAAAATATATTAATTTTATGTTGTAGCTATTTTTCCTTTTTAAACTTGGAGGAAGAAATTCATTACGGCACTTCAGTAACCAACACAACTTTCATATGTCTGATGGTCAGCGATACTGTATACTGAGTGCATTTAAATGTTGACCCCAGTGGGTCTCTGTAGAGTGCAGCTATCCCATCAGTTGATCAGAGTGTGTGCCCTGTGCATTGCTTTCTCTCTTCTTTGACCTTGGACTGACTTGTATAACTCATGACTGGAGCTGCAGCCTATATCGTGGGGGCGTGCCTTGTTTTGGACTCTGTTAGGACAGGGAACAGACACTCTTAAGGCGAAGCAAACTCGTCTTCAGTACAGAAAGTTAGTCGTTCAGTAGTGTCTGACTCTTTGCTGACCCCATGAACTGTAGCCTGCTAGGCTCCTCTGGTCTATGGGATTCTCCAGGCAAGAATACTGGAGTGGGTAGCTATTCCCTTCTACAGGGGATCTTCCCAACCCAGGGTTCAAACCTGGGTCTCCCCCATTTCAGGCAGATTCTTTACCATTTGAGGCACCGGGGAAGCCTGGTGCTGGGGGGATTCCTCTTCTGATTCCCTTCCTCTCTGGGCAAGGCCTTATCCTTTCATTTGTTGCCAGTGAGTTTTTTGTGGAGATGAGCAGTGTGGTGACTGAAGGAAGATCTTAATGGGTGATGGTGGTGGTAAGGAGGAGGCTGGTATGGAGAAGGGCAAATCAAGCAGACTGCAAGCCTTTTGCGGTTGTGTTTTGGGTGGAATTGCAGCTCAGTTAGAGCTTTACACATACATACAAAAATGGAACCGAGAAGTATTTTCATTTGTCCTTCATTTGTGGTAACGGCACATTCATGGCAGGAGGCCGTGAAATCAGTTCAGAAGGGTAGCAAGTATGGGTAGCAGTAGCTGCTGTGAGTCCTCAGGGTTAGGCAGGAGCAGGAGACTTTCTGGAGCTCTGGGGTGTGAAAGGCACCTGATATCCCACTGTGGCTGGTAAGGGCTGGAGGAGGGGTGGGGGCACCCGCTCACACCCTTCGCCTTGCTCAGGGACTTCAGGAAGTCGCACGTCCAATACCTCCTGACTTGCTGCTGTGACGTCTTCCTTCACCACCTCTCTTTCTCAGAAAACGGCTAGGCTCAGGAGAGCAATACAGAGGGCGGCAGTGATTATTTGAGAAGGTACATACTTCACTTCAGACCAGATAGCTGTTATCCGCCTAGATAACTTCTGTGAGTTCTGAAATAGACTTGGCACAGCAGGCAGGGTGTCTGCTTATAGCATAGCAGGAGGGATGAAGGATTGCCTGGTTTTGCATTTTAGACGGGGGCTGTAATCCTGGAGAGTATTTTTATTGTATGGAAGTCGGGAAGAACTCATGAAGTACATGCAGGTCTTTTATCTGGTTCCATTTGGAAGGTGGTGATTTAGAATGCTATATGTTCAAGTCCCAGTCTCCTCAGCTCATTGAGGACAACACCAACCTTACGGAGGTATGTGAGGTTTAAGTGTCGCTGACTCCTTATTTCTGGATGTCCCTCCCTATCGATTCAGTTAATGCGTGTCCCATCAGTGTAGCAGTCTCTTTCCCATGTTAGCTCCATACAGAAAGGTGCCCTATCACTGATCAGGGAGGGGACAGTTTTTTTCCTTTAAGCTTAATGATTCATCTAAGAAATATGTTTTGGCATCTTATACATGTGAGGCACTGTGATGGGTGCTGAGGATGCAAGGATGATAATCCACAGCTGTCAGGGAGGTCCCACTGGACTGGCAAAGACAGACTTATACACTGGTGGTTACAGCATAGAAAAGAAACAGCAGAAATGGGCAGAAAATTTATGGGAGGAAAGAGGAAGTGTCTGAGGATCTTCCTCAGTTTGGGGTGTTTCTTATAGGGATGGAGATACCATGGAAGAGGAATTTGGGAAAAGGAAACAAGCTTGAGTGAAGACTTGGAGTTGAGAAACATTCTGTTTGGAGACCTTTAAGCCATTTGGGGTTCTTGGATGGGGGAGGGGTAAGGCTGGAGAAATAGGAAGGGGCTAGATCCAGAAAGGCCTTGCATGCCAGTTTAAGGAGCGCAGGCTTTATTCATAGGCTGGCAGTCCTCTAAGGGATGGGACATGCCTACAGGGATGAGAGGGGCAGGTCTTTGCATTTGGAATGACCATTTGGTTGAGGACTGCCTGCCAATGCAGGAGACATAAGAGATGCAAGTTCAGTCACTGGGTCAGGAAGATCCCCTGGAGAAGGAAATGGCAACTCATTCCAGTATTCTTGCCTGGAAAATTCCGTGGACAGAGGAGCCTGGTGGGCTCCATGTGGTCGCAGAGAGTTGAACACAATTGACTGCACACACAGTGCAATGCAATGAGGACCACGCTGGGTTAGGTGAACCATGCTTGTGTGGAAGGCAGCTTGGAGAGCTTGAGGCAAGAGGCTTCTAGGAATATCCACAATTGTCTAGGGACAGAGACAGTGAAGGCTACAGGAAGTAGAGGTAGGAAGGAATGGATGGATTTCAGATTTAAGTTCTGATTGATTAGAGGAAGGGAGAATGAGGAAGCAGGAGCCATGTATGATCAGGCCTTTACTTTTTCTTTCAGAGGCTCTGCTCGTATCCCACTTCTCTTGGGATGGTCTTTCTGACCTCTCCCAAACTTTGCTGTATAACTCTGGCCTCAACTGTCTCTGCTTGTTCCTTCTTGGTTTTGTATGTTCTTAAGTTTGTTTTGCTTTCTGTAAGAAGAGGAAGCACTTAAAAGGTAGAATCTGCCTTTTATACTTTTTTGGGTGCAATTTTAGTTGTTTAATACCTATTAAACACCTATTAAATATTGGACTTTACATAATTCATTTATCTCTGGTTTTCTTCTAAGAGGGGAAGGAAGAATTGAACACAGATGTCAGATGGGAGGTTTCTTCCATGCAGAAGAAAAAACATTTGTGACTTGTGTGTCTAAAAGGGAATTTAATCAAATACACGTCAAAATCATCCAAAAGGAGTTTAAGACTGGGGTTTTAGAAGAGTAGACTAGCTTTTTTTGCCATTTAGCTCTAGAAACAACTTGGGCTTCCCTGGTGACTCAGGTGGTAAAGAATCTGCGTACAATGCAGGAGACCCAGGTTCTATCCCTGGATCAGGAAGACCCCCCTGGAGAAGGAAATGGCAACCCACTCCAGTATTCTTGTCTGGAGATCCCATCAACAGAGGAGCCTCGAGGGCTACAGTTCATGGTGTCGCAAGAGAGTTGGACATGACTAGCGACTAACAGTTTCACTTTTCACTTCTAGAAACAACTTACCTGGAAAGGCACCTCTGGTGGGTTGGCCATGGCTCATACATCCAGAACAATTCATTTAATCGTACCACAGTTAACTGCTGTCTCTGAAGGCTTTGTGTTTGTGATTCCCTCTGCAGGTCCAGAGCCTGGTGGTGCCCAGTGTGAGCTGTCGCCCGTCAACGCCTCCCATCCGGTCCAGGCCTTGATGGAGAGCTTCACTGCTTTGTCGGGATGTGCCAGTAGGGGCACGGTGGGGCTGCCCCAGGAGGTGCACGTCCTGAACCTCCGTGCTGCCGACCAGGGGCCCGGCCAGCCACAGAGAGAGGTAGGTGCGGTGCCAGCTTGCTACCCACTGCCCCTTGGCATTTGTCTTTACACTTCTGTGGATGTGGCGTCCTCTTCTTCCATTCTGGGTTTAACGAGGATGCTTGTGTATGAACATAAGTGGGGTGGAGGACACAAGGTACATGAGAGAGAGAGAAGGATTTCAATTAATTCAGAAGGATTGCTCTCTGAATTGGGCAACTCTAGGACTTCTCTCTAGAGAGCTTTCTCGGCTTTTCACTTTTCCTGCCCACCCCCCGCCCCCATATTGGAAAGAATGTTTTTGAGAATTTTACTTCTAAAACATGGTTGTGAAAAAACAGTGTTGCCATTTTTCTGTTATTGTAGAATGTCTTTCTCATCTCCTTCTGTGCTGTCTTTCTTCTTTCTTTGCTTTGTCTTGCCTACTGCTCCTGCAGGATGTGTCAGGGGAAATGGAAACACTCTGGGATAAGGATGGCAGAACCTTGTATTAATATTCTCATGAAAGCTCTGGGGTGGGTAGCTCCTTATGTTATCCAGGCAACTTCTCGAAGATGAAGATGGTCTTGGTGGTGGTGATGATGACCCAAGCTCATAGTGACTCAGTATTTCCTCTGTCCTCAGCACTGTTTGAACCACTCAGACACTTCTTCCAAGAAGTCCTATTACTGCCCTCAATTTATAGGTTATAGACAGGTGCAGTGATAACTCACTTGCCCAAGGTCATTATCGTAAGAGTGAAATAGCTTCCTCTGTCTTGTGGCTCTGAAATGACCCACATTGTGGATAATGGTCATGCTACTTCTTTGAAGATAACACGCAGTTGTCATTGTTTCTGTTTTTAAGCTTCTGTGTCAGAAATGTTATCACTAGGCTATTATTTCTCTGGGAAGAGAGAAACCACAATAAACCCCAATCCCAGTGAAGTGTAGAAAAACTCATGCAGAGCAGAATTTATCTTTGAGCTTGTTTCTGATCAAGAAAGTTAATTTCCAGAACCATTTGTTTATGTGGCTCAACCACTCTTCATTCTTGGGGGGGGGGGGAGTAGGAATAGGGGAGGTGAGGTGTCCAGAAGGGAAAGCAAACTGATTTTAATCTTGTGAAAGTGTGTGGAGTTGGCTCATTTCAAAGACAAATCATCTAGCCTTCCCAGCTACATTGGAAATTATTGTTAATACTCTTGGTTGCTTGCCATTGTTGCTGCAGCACATATTTCAGGTCAGATTTCTTTATCCCAGTAATGCGTCTTTAATTTTTAACTTATGGGGGAGAATTTGTGGTGGGAGGGGAAGAAGGGGAGGAGGAAGTGCAGCTCATATGAGGTACTGCTGACTCCAGCAGTTCTTTAGCAGCAATAATTACTCATGTTATATATGCTGTCTCAGAAGAACCAAGAAAGAAAAAACAAGTCTGAGCTATTACAAAAGCAGCAACAGCAGAAATTCTGCATGTTAAATTGTGCGGTACTATTGTTGATTCTGAAAATAGATTCACAGAAGACTATTGAAGCAAAAGAAAAATACCTCAAGGAATGATGGCAGAGCTCTCCCACACTTGTATTTACTGTGTTAGATAAAAATAGACATGGTTGTCCTGAAGATACATAAAATGAGCTGGCATCAAGGGACATCATATGCTCAGTAAGGAAGTAAAGAAAGAGGGCCTTTGGGGATAGTCTCTAAAACTTGGTTAAAAAATGTTTACTGTATGTGTGATTTAAGATTAGTGATTTGAAGATATTACTGAGACTAGGCAGCTGAGGGAAATTGCATTCTTCCCTTCTTTGGGGGACTTTAAGGAATTAGATGGTTGTGTTCTATCTTGTTAGAAGACAAAATGTTGGGACATGTGATCTTTGGAAATTCTCTCTGGCTCTGAACTGCTCTCATAGGGTACACCTGGAGTATTTTATGTCTACAGAGTGAGTGTCGAGGATAATCCAGAGCAGTAAGGCCCTGACAAAGAGACAACAAAGGAGAGTTTGTTTATGGACAGTAAGATGGAGGAGGAAAAATAAGTATCTCTTACCTTCTCCATGTGTGACTCTGGAAATTCATTACTGCAGCCATACCAATAGCTTTTAAAGATCATTTAGACCCAGCAATTCCATTCCTAAGTGTATATATTAGAGAAAAGAAAACATACGTCCATGTGAAGACTTGTCCATAAATGTTCATAGCAATATTATTCATAATAGCCAAAAAATGGGAACAATTTGCATGCCTGAACGCCCATCAAAAGTGTTAACAACCTGAATGCCTGTCAATGGATGAATGGATAAATGAAATGTGATATGTATATATCCATATGATGGAATGTTATCAGCAATAAAAATGAATGAAATACTGATACATGCCACAACGTGGATGAACCTTAAAAACATTATGCTAAGTGAAAGACACAAAAGACATATACTGTCTGATTCCATACATATGAAATGTCCATGGTAGACAAATTTATAGAGATAGAAAGTAAATTGGTGGTTGTTTAGGGCTGAAGGGCAAAAGAGAGAAATCAGGTACTGACTGACTATGAGTACAGAGTTTCTTTGAGGGGGAGAAAATGTTCCGAAATTGAATTGTAGTGATGGCTCCACAATTGTATATGGATATTACTAAACACCATTGATAAATGTGAACATACTAAAAGCCATGGAGTTGTACTTTAAATGGGTGAATTTTATGGCATGTGGATTTTATTTCAGTAAAGCTGTTAAAAAAATAATAATTTAGCCTGTCAGTATTCTAATTGCCTTAAATAAAAGTTACCTTAACTGTATCTATTTTATTTTTTTAACACCAAGATTGCTTCCTCCTCCAACCTAAGCCCTTCCAATTCTTTCTGATGTTTTTAAAGATAACTTGATTTTTATACATATGCTATTTTATATGGTCTGTCCTAAAAATAACAGCCAGTTGATTATGGTGGTAATAATGGGAGGGAGGATCAGAGACAGCCTTTGTGCATGTTTCTACCAAATATTAAGGGCAAATATTTTTCAAGATGAAATGATAAATGTTGTTGCTTGTAAATTAGAAAAGAATGCCCTACTGGCTCCAAGCCATCATTGCTTTGACTACTATGACCGAGGTAGTTGTTTTTCATGCTGTCCTCCTTAAATGCAAGGGAATTACTAAATCAACCCCATCCCACCCGCCTCCTCCTGGCTTGTTATTGGTGCAGGATAAGCATTAAGATCTAGTATAAATCATCCGTTCTCTAACATTTTACTAAATTCCTATCTCCCAGGCACCTTAAGTTTCCTCAACTGAGGAGGGCCCTCTGCTTTTCCTCTGTGGAGGATAAAACAGCCTACACCTGAAAGTAATAACCGCAGCAGGTTGACAAGATTTGGGGAAACAGCTATACTTAAGTTAGATAAACAATTTTATAGGCCAGCAGAGAATTTGTATCAGAAGCATGCTTGCTACAGTGATTAATACAAAGCTGTCTGTGGTGAAGCATGGTTTTGCTATTGACTTCCCTGCTGGATTCTCATCAGGACAACACAGACCTGTAGTTGTATTTTTCATCTGAGACCACACCTCTCATTTGTAATCATCAACTTTGGAAATAGCAATCCTGGAAGTGAACAGGAAATTGGGAAGACTCTTTGGTGACAGAGGTGGGCAGAAGAAGGTAAACAGTTCTGAGAGATCAGTTTTGTCTTTTAGAATAAATGGTATGTATCATAGGTTTTGGGCTTCCCTGGTGTCTCAGTGGTGAAGAATCTGCCTGCCAGTGCAGGAGACGTGGGTTGGATCCCTGGGTCAGGAAGTTTTGCTGGAGGAGGAGATGGCAACCCCCTCCAGTATTCTTGCCTGGGAAATCCCATGGACAGAGGAGCGTGCTGTCCCTGGGGTTGCAAAAGAGTTGGACATGACTTAGCAACTAAACAACAACAAATCATAGGTTTCATCTTCCTGTGCCCTTTAACCTCAAAGTAAAATCTGCCCCCTGCACGCCTTCCCCCCGCCTCACCCCCGCCACTCTTTCCCAATGACCCCATGCACCTGCCCCTGAGTTTGGTCCCTCTGGGTGTTTCCTGATTCCTAAGAAGGGTTGTAGCACTACTAAGAGGCTGCATTGACAGTGATATACTTTCATTAGTTGCTGGAATGGCAACAATTTGCTCCCTATCATCTAATTTTTATTGTGATCTGCTTTTTTTGTGGCAGTGCTTCTTTTCTATTTCCCGTTTGTCTAACTGCTTGTTTGTTATGAAAAGCCCTTAGTTAGCAGTATGTATGTGTATAACAGATTCTGGGGGTAATTATGGGTGTTTAAATTTATATATGTGTTTTGACATTAAAGAAGCAGCTGCTAGTGGGCGTGCCATGCGAGTGGGATGGCTGTAGGGTGGAGTAAGGATCTGGGAGGATCCATTGTCGTGGGAAAGGGGCCAAGTTTAATAGATTTATCCTCATCCATCAGAGGGCTTCCCTGTTGGTTCAGACAGTAAAGAATCCACCTGCAATGCAGTAGACTGGGTTTGATCCTTGGGTTAGGAAGTTCCCCTGGAGGAGGGCATGGCAACCCACTCCACTATCCTTGCCTGAAGAATCCCATGGACAGAGGAGCCTGGCGGCCTACAGTCCATGGGGTTGCAAAGAGTCAGACATGACTGAGCGACTAAGCCCACACACCTGTCAGAAAGCTCAGAACCCTCCATTCTTTTATGTATTATTCTCTGTTTCATTCCAAAAGGGATTTGAGATGGGCTTACAACAGACATACCAACAGTGTAAGCAGAAATGCAGAATGAGGACAAAGAAGTGTAATTTTTTAGAAAGATATAGTTTGATTGCCATGAGGGTTAATGTGATTGGCATGATTGAGTTTGAAATTTGGCTCCAGGCTTCTAGGCAGGCAGGGGCAAATGGGATGTGTAGTTAATCACACATGTGGCTCCAGGTCACTTTAATTTTGGACCTTCTCTGAGGACTGTGGCATAAAGTTGTTCCTTTCCTGTTTTTTTTGAGGGCAGGAAAAGACCACAGTTGAGAGAAAGAGAAG